TAGTCATATTAGTTAGAAATTTTTACATAATTGTTATTCGTGGTAACAGGTTCATCGTTTAATGTGCTCGGAACTTCTGAGGTTGGTAGATAAAATCTCCAGGATATTTCCAGAGATAGAAGCAGCTCGACCTCGCTGCTTAACAGGAATACAGGCTCTATGCTTGTTAAATAGTGGAATTGAGAAAGCCAAGCTAATTCTTCAGCATTGCAGCGAGTCTAGTAAACTCTACCTGGTTTGTACCTTTGGATGATTTAGTATAAGAAATTACATGGAGTGAGATGAATTCTGTTTCTCTCTCTCTCTCTCTCTCTCTAAATGTGTCAATATTGTAAATCGCTATTCAAATATTTAAAAAAAATATTTCTGAAATTAGTTGCTGGAACAGCAGCTGCAATTGCTCCCTACTGCATCCCTTTTTAGGATGTTTATTCTTCTAGGAAACCTCTACAATTGTTTCTGCATTAGGTAGTCACGTTTCCCAATGAAACTTACGTTTGAGAAACTCTCTTTATGAAGCTTTCTCCAACGCCTACGCGTTAGCTGTGTTGAAATGCATAATCAAGGAATTTCTTTAGTTTTGTCATTACGGTTTGTCCAATATGAACTGTGTACCTACCTGTCATTTTATGGTTGACTTGCAGGCAGTTACTGGGGATGTGATAGTTTTAAGATGTCAAAAATCAAGGAACTTGTTGGAGCAAAGCTTACGGGAAATTCAGAACTGGGTTCCAATGATGTTGGTGATGCAGGTTTGTCAACTTACATTCCCTTTTTCCTACTAAAATTTGCGTGATCTTTTTGTCATTCCTTTTCCCACAATCCAAATCCCTTTAGATTGGGGTGCTGGGCATAGACCTGCATGCAACAGTACAACAATCATTTTTTGATTGATCATTGCTCAAGTCAAACCTTTATAGATATTATCCATCAATCAAAACAATGTTGAAGGTTTGACGTCCTAGCCTTTTTTTTTTCTTTTCCGGAAGCATATTTTGTTAATGATTTGGGGCTTTTTGTTTAAAAGTAATGTCAGCTGGGCTCGATATCACCATAATCTGTGTCATATAATTTATAATTTTTTATGTTGGTTCATACCAATTAAGTCTCAGTTATTTGGTTGAGATGATGATGAAATGTCATTTGCAGATCTCTCAAGTAGCTGATGATCTTAAAGGTGCAACATTTATACTGGACCCATCTGAAGAAGAAGCAGGGAGGGTTGTTCGAGAATTGCTTCATAATGATTCTTCTCGATCAAACCAAAGGGAGCATTATGAAATCAAGGCTCTTCAAATTGCATCCCTTAGGCTCCATATTACATCATCGAAGGCAATCTTAATGGAGAAAAGATCTATTAAGAAGCTGCTAGATAAAGTTGGTGACAATGAAACTCGAAAAAAACAGATTTTGACTTATTTCATGTATCTATTGAATAAGCATGGAAAGTTGATAACGGGAAAGCAAACAGAGAGTGCCTCAGAGCAGCAACAAGGATCATTTGTTCCTGAGAATTCTGGAAATGGTTTTGAATCTAATCAACACGCTGAAATTGAATCTCCCATTGGTTATGGCGAGTCCAAGGCACAAAGAAACTTGTTTCGTGGAGCTGTACCTCCTGAAGCATTTATGTGTAGAATATCTTCCGGAATGATGTACGATCCTGTTGTCATTGATTCTGGACAAACATATGAAAGGATGTGGATACAGAAGTGGTTTGATGAGGGTCACGATACATGCCCAAATACTAATGTGAAACTAAACAACCTGTCATTGATTCCGAACATTACCATGAAGGAGTTAATTTCAAGGTGGTGTACACAGAACGGAGTTGCCCTTCCGGACCCAAGTGTGCAACCAGAAGCCCTCTCATGGGAAACATCGTCCACTTCCATTGCTAGTTTAGGCAGCTCTATGAATGATCTTCACCTACAGATGGACTTCAGCAATATATCGTTTGGGTCCTTAGATACCAGTTACAATTCGGACTCATCACGCAATAAGATTGAAAATGGCTCGAGTTTGGTGCAGAACGACAATGATTCTCTGAACTACCAGACTGCTAAAAAACGCGAGACTGGTGTGCAATTTCCATCTGAACTCGGTGAACTCCAATGGGAATCCCAGTGCAAGGCTGTCGAAGACGTCAAAAACCATTTGAAATGCAATCCTGAAGCTTCCCATGCTATGTCATCTAAGAATTTTGTTGAAACTCTCATCAAATTTTTGAGGGAGGCCCATTACCTGGACGATGTAAAAGCTCAGAGGGATGGATTGGAATTATTACTGACCTTTGTGAGCAAAAGCAGGTAATTTTTTTATTTTGTAGCTGGGAATTCATTACTCTTGCATGCCTTTATGCATCAAATCCATACTGCAGTTGTTTTTTAGATTCTTTTAATTTCGTTTTTGCTGCCTACTGTAGAAATGGGATACCATATCTACGTGAAGAGGCATATAATCTGCTGGCATATTATCTTGATTCAAAGGTAACCGAAGAAGTTCTTGCCATACTGGAAGTTGTGTCTGGCCACCAGTATTGCAGGTCTAAGATCTCAGAATCTGGTGCACTTACATCCATTCTAAAACTCCTCGACTCCCAGAACAAAGATTTACAAGGACAAGCCATTAAGATTTTGCGTAACTTGTCCTTATCTAAGGACATTTGCTCAAAAATTGTATCTTTGGAGTGCATACCAAAATTGGTTTCTTTCTTTAAAGATGACGTTCTTTCAGGAGTCTGCATTTCTATATTTAAAAATTTGTGCGATACAGAAGAGGCCAGGATTTCGATTGCTGAAACACATGGATGCATTGCTTCTATTGCTGAACTCCTCGAGACAGGCAGCAGTGAGGACCAAGAGCATGCTGTTGATATCCTCGTTTCTTTATGCTCTCAGCGTGATGAATATTGTCAGTTGGTCATGCACGAGGGTGTTATCCCATCGCTTGTCGATTTATCTAACAAGGGGACAGAGAGAGCAAAGACAAGTGCGTTGGAAGTGCGACGGCTCTTAAGAGACTTCAAATATGCCAATGAGCACGAATGCTCTGGATCTACTGACCTTGATGCATCCAGAGACGACGGAAATTGCTCTACTGAAAAGAAATCATCAAAGATTTCAGGATTAATGTCCATGCTCTCAAAACCCTGTTCCCTTGCACCGAAAAAGAAGAAATGAAGCCTCTCTGTTGGCTTGCTTCTTATGCCACAGCGTCTCCAAATCTCTTCTGCCCGGTAAGACTAATTGCTTCTAGGCTGGAGCGCTTTGTGGTTCTTAAGAAGTGAGGAAAAGTATCCTCACGTTGTAGGTAAATACGGAAAGGAGTTGGCAGGTCTCTGTAATCATATACTAATTTTCACTTAGTTTATTTTTTATCGGGTTTCTAGATTTCAGCAAAGTCGTGGGCTTTTTCCTTCATTCATAATGTATCCTCTTCCCTTTTGCTGCTGTATATATACATACTAAATAAGGTGTATACAATATGATGTTATTTGATGCGCTTTCCTTTTGTCATTGTAATTTGCCTGGTTTTGTAAGGTTTCACGTTTGTTTCAGTTAAACCAATGAACAATGAGCCGGGAAAGACAATCCTGCTACGCTCTTTCAGCGGTATCAGGACGGCTTCAGAAGCTCAGAAGCCGGAGCTTCAGTGTGCAGGCGCTGGTGCTGGATCAGATTTTTATCTTCCTTGTATGTTGTCACGCAGTTGATGGTAAGTGGAAACTTGGAGATGCATTAGTCAGGTGGTTGCCTGGGTTAAGTGCTCTAAAATGGCAAGCGTTGGTGAAGTTCAATGGGAAAAGGTACGGTTTTGAGAATCCGGATCCTCGATCCTCTTTGTGAGGATCCCGGAATCCGTGAATCGTGTCCGTTCATCGTACATTGTGCTGTTAAAAATCATTTTAAATATTTTTATTTAAAATTAAACATAAATAGTACCTGATAAAAACTAACTGCACGATGTACGATGAATAAATACTATTCACGGATCCTATTCATGGATTCCCAAAATCCTCACCAAAGGGATCCAGAGAGGATCCTGTTGGCGGTTTTGAGAAGGAAGATGTTAAAACTCCAACGGTTTGCCCAGCTCTCTGACATGAACTATTCCACGCCCAATCATTTATCAACTGTTTCGAACACAAAAAAAAAAAAAAAATCCAACAAGATAAAATTTTATTTCACAAGCAGCATTGGATTAGATTCTCCTTTCTCATTCTCACGCGCGCTAGTTAATTTTTTTTATCAACACATTCTCCCAAATCAAACAAGATACGATTTCATTTTCTAGTAACCTTTGGATCATGTATTCCCACACAATTTAACTCATTAAATCGTTAACTCTAATCTCATTCACCCTCTATTAGTGGCAAGTCTCCAACTATTATATGATAGAGGACTGTTAGTGACATTTCAACATGCTCCGACGCACTTTCTATGTCCCTCATATAGTAAAGAACAAGTGCATAAAAACATTTCTGGAGTGTCAATGACATGCAAATGATATGTAACTTATTGACTTCAGTTGAAGAGAACAATTGTTTCGGTGGACTTTTGTTAGAAAGTAAATGGGTGTTAACCTCTATGAAATACTGTTTGTTGAAAAATATGTAGGGATAATATAAAATAATAAAAGCTGGAGTAGCTCAGTTGGTTAGAGCGTGTGGCTGTTAACCACAAGGTCGAAGGTTCAAGCCCTTCCTCTAGCGCAAAATTTTGCTGTATTCAATTTTCCTCCCATCAAAACGGCCAATTTAACCAGCGCCACTAAAACTTCTCATTTTTTTTTCATTCATACCCCTGAAAGGCCACGGAAGACACAATTCAAATTCCTCACCGAGGCAATCGCTTCACTTTTGCAGATTTTGGATTTAGGGTTTTGATTTGATTGGTTTCTGCTATCCAGCTAGGCTTTTTTGGGTTTTAGGAACTCGATCAAATTACGGTTCTTTTTCTTCTAATACCTGTTCAAAGAATCAATCATAGAAGAGGAGGCAATGGCGACGGAGTCATCGGAGGGAGAAGAGGATGCGAAGCTGACGGGAGGGAACCAGCTGCTGGTAGTCGACGACGATCTCAGAGAAATGGGCAAGAAGGCTGCTTGGAGTGTCAGCTCCTGCAAGGCCGGCAATGGCGTTTCGTCTCTCCGTGACGACAATCTCGACACCTACTGGCAGTCTCTGCTTCAATTCCCCTTTCCCTTTTTTAGTCCCTAAAAAATTTGAAATCTTTGAACTTTAATTTTGTTTGTTTGTTCTTGGTTTGCAGATCCGACGGTGCGCAGCCTCATTTGGTGAACGTTCAATTCCAGAGGAAAGTGAAGCTCCAAGTACGTCTGAAGGTTTCAATTTTTCAGTTGTTTAAAAATCCAAAATTTAATTTTGACTGATGGGTTTTTATTTTTCCCACCAAAAATAAATTTCAGCTTGTTGTTCTCTATGTGGATTTCAAGCTTGATGAGAGCTATACGCCGTGTAAGATCTCAATCCGAGCTGGCGACGGCTTTCACAACTTGAAGGTAGTATGTTTATCTCTTCTGGGTGGTTTTATGCTTGGTTAGTTGGTTTGAACAGTGAATTATTCGCAATTGTGAATTAGGCAAGTCGGCCAAGTCAGTGTACCCCGAGTTGAAATACTAGATTAGAGTAGTTTAGAATATCGCTTGTACCAAAAAGAAAAACAGTTAATTGTTTATATATTATCTTTTGTAATATACTGCATTGTGATGCTGGCATAGACCCAATTAGGTTAACTTTTGGCTATCTTGCTGCAAATGATTGTAGGACATAAAAACTGTGGAGCTTGATAAGCCAACGGGTTGGGTTCATATATCACTGTCTGGAAATGATCCAAGGTATGCAGTGAAACCGTTGTTTGTTTTCGAGCATTTGTAGTCATGCATATTTCTACATGTCGTTTCTGTATTGTTTTGATTACAATGCATTGTTGTGTCATTCCATCTGTGCTCAAATTTAAATCTTGGTGAGTAGTGGCTTGATGGGTAGGATATTGTTGTTAACAATTCAAAAGTTAGTTGTCCAATTCGTCTTCTTGATCTGATATCTAATACTTCATTGAAAAATATTTAGAATGTATCTGTTCTCCCTAATTACTAGAGAGATGAGAAAGAAGTTGGGAAATAAATTGGGTTAAATGACATCTTATTTCATTTTGCGATAGCACAAAAGTCGTGATATGAATCTAAGACAAACAAATCGAACAAGTGATTGTTCCATTTCCCTTCAATGTAGTTCAAAGACATGACGGTAAGATAAGCTTGCATCCGATTTGCTTGATGAATGATGATGATATGCTTAAAGAAACATTTGCAAAAATAGATCATATGGTGGTCATGTTCAATTTATTAGACTATTGTTCGAGTTTTGAAATCTTCTGTGCAAATATGTTTGGCAGGGAAACTTTTGTCAACACTTTTATGCTGCAAATCTCTGTGTTATCGAATCACCTGAATGGGAGAGACACTCACGTGCGCCAGATCAAAGTTTACGGCCCTCGACCGTGCGTCTCCTTATCTTGTCTTGCTCACTGATTACTGATATGAGAAATAGTGTGAATTTCTTTTAAATTTATTTCATTACAATGTGCACCGCAGGAACCCTATTCCGCATCAGCCGTTTCAGTTTACTTCAAGGGAGTTCATTACCTATTCTACTGTGAGATGAGAAATGTGATCCGACGAAGAAACAAAGAGACGGGAAATGCCGGACCTTGAACTGAAACTGGACGGAATCCCTAAACCACATTCTAAGCGCCGCGAGGAAGTTTCTCTTTGTAATATTTGTAACATTTTGAATCTCCGATGTAATGTTCACCGGCAATGAACTGATGTTTGATACATTCATTACATAATTTGAATTTTCAACCGAGTTCTCTAAGGTACCGTTTGGTATGTGGGACGGAACGGAACAGAGTGGGACAAGACGTTCCGTCTCACGTTTGGTGCACCTAAAACGGATGGAACGAGCTGTTCCACGGGACGAGTTTTGGGTGAATTTTCGTTCCACCACACCTCCTGGAACGACTCGTTCCACATCCGTGGAACACAAAATTATAACCTCTCCGTCTCCTTCTTCCTCCTTGTTTCCATCCAAGGGCATCTTTACTCTAGCTCCGCTCCGTTCCGTCCCGTCCCGTCCCATTCCGTTCCGTCCCGTCCCGTCTGCATACCAAACGATACCTAAAGCTTCTTTGAATTTTGAGTCTACTTTATAGCCAACTTACACAACTTGCTACGCTGAGGTCTGTCGTCTGCCGGCAACATTATTAACTTGAAACGTCGTTGTCCGACAGTAGTAGAGTAATCAGCATGCTTGACCATTAAGCTTTGACTTGATCAAGAAGTAATTAGCTTTTAGCTAAAACTACTTATGAGATGCCAAAACCATGCAATAAAGCAAGAATCCAAGAATCCATGTCGTTTACAAAATGAAGCATGTGTCACCTAAAGTGCCGCGCATGACTCATACGAATCTCTTTAATCATCCTTTTCGAGTGCGAATTTACTTTAGATCTAGAACTTTTTAAGCATATCATTTTGCTAGATTTCTCTCATCATTAGCTGAAAATCTGTCGCTCATTACGTTGAAAATCTGTCATATAAGCGTGGAGAATCGGAGATACTTATACAATTAGAGATACTAGTGAATAGAGTGTTAGGTTTCTACCAGTACGCTGTGTTAGAAACTCCCCCTTCCCTAAATTTTCTTAATAATAATATTAATAAGAGAAAATTGTAGCAATGGTCCCTCAACTTTAATCAAATTGCTCTAATTGGGTTAAAGTTGAGGCACTATTTCCCCAGTTAAGTTAAAGTTGAAGGACCACTGCTACAATTTTTTTCATTTAGTTTTTCATATTTGCCCTTCGATTTAGCCTCATGTGCGTGGCACGTAACTCATTTGAGTTGAAGAAAATGACTATAGCTACAAGTTTTGAGGAGTTAAGGGGCCAATAGTCATACATTTTTAGTTTAGAGATCATTACAAATTACAGTTGAGGAACCATTGCTACAATTTCTCCTATTAATAATTTAAAAAAATAATAATAATAAAAAGAAAAAGAGAAACATCATTTTGTATACAGCTCTCACCATACAACGTAATGAGTACTCATGTCGTTACTGTTCCACAAGGACCAGAACAAAGAAAGTTCAAGAACGATTCTTCGGCATCTTACACTAATTGAATACATTTAATACCAACATGATGCGTCAAGTGATGCGTACATATCTATGGATGCTTGGCCCTCGTAACCCTATATACAGATGACATTCATTCAACTTCTAGTTTTAGATTCAGTTGCACCGCAAAAAACAGCTTACGAGACAAATTCCGGAGTGGCAGCCATGAGAAAAATGAACTGATTGAAATAGCTGCGATTTTCAGAATTAAACGATCAAGCACGAAGAACTTTTACATAGAACATGGATATGGTTCGAAATTACAGAACAGAATTCAGCAAATGACGATCATGTTCTACAACCAAGTTTTTCATTCACATGCTGGCTTGGTGTCGAAGCTGCTTAAGCAGATCGCAAACGCTTGGAAACAGGACAGCGGGTAGCGATAATCCAAGGTGAAGATATCTTTTCCGATCTTTCCAAACTGTAGGATTACCCTCTCTTGCTCTTCAGCCGAAACGTTGTGGGACGGATCAACAGCTGCCACAAGCTGGAAGTTTTTCACAGAAGCCACTGTAACGCGCCCTCTAAAGTTAAGGCACCAGCATTGTAGCTGCTCATGCCACCTAGGAGACTTGTTTTTCAAAACCAGTGGCTCTGCACCCAGGGCAGACACGTTTGGCTCCGAGAGGGTTGTAGAGCTGAACTCTGTGATCAGATCCTTTTCTTTTGAACTTGGTGAGACAGCAAATTGTTCGTCATAGGCTTGTGGCAACGATGTTGGTGTTGGGGCGGTGCCCCCCTCCTGAATGGACGAGACAGGAATGGAGTGCATAGCACAATGCATTCTCCTTGGACCTCTCGTGCAAAAAATATTGAGCTCGTAAGAGATGTTGCCAACTCTGTAGTTACACGCTGGTACTCTTGGAGATACCTGCTTAGAATGGAACCTTCGAGATGATCGATTATTTGGTTTGGGTACCGCATCACATGGAGGCTGGCTGTCATATACGGTGAACTTGGTACCCAGAAAGTTGGACCTGGTAAAACAATTGTTGAATGAGTTGTCGAGAACATAAACTAATAATAACTTGACTGAGATATTTGCAAATTATAGTAGAGCACACTTACCTCAATTTACCAACATATGTACTGCTGGCTCGAGAAAAATCATCTGAAACCAAAGATATAACGAACTCTGTGCTTGTTGCCCTTCTGATCCTTTTGGCTGCTAGCAGTAATTTATCTTTCTCGCCCTCGGCTGTCAATTTAATAGCATAAGTGAACATCATGTAGCAACTTATAAGATTTCTTTTCGTCACACTTCTCCGTGGCAAATAATCTAAAACGAGAATGTTAATAAGAACGCTACTTACATGGTGCCAGACCACAGTACAGATAAAATGTGGAAGTTTCTCTATTCCTTCTAATGAAGCACTGTATTGGAGACTGGCGAGGCCCCGGCTACACAAAGCACACCACAAAACAAACACTATTTCAGAGGAGGCAATCAGTACAAGTAAGCACAAACTTTAGAGGCATTAGAATAAAGCAACACCTGCTTCAATGAGATTGGAAATGTGAGCCTTCCACATTGCTCAGGAGTTTTGACTATCTCCCTTGTAATGTCCCTCCACGACTTACAAACTGAACCACAAAAAACAACAACAGCTCGAGCAGGCCACGAGGTTTCACTTTCTTCTACCCTCTGAATTATGTCCAAAAGCAATTCCGGAGGCAAGTTCGCCCACTGACCCTGCTGAATCACATCAGTTGGAGGGGTTGGAGCCATATCAGGAGCAATATGTGACAACGTCCTTCTACGCCAAAGCTTCCGCTCACCAACTCGCCTTGACATGCTCCCAATTCCATCTTTCATCTCCCGCAGCTCGCGAACAATGCCTTTGAACGACATCTACACATAGCATATCAATCAGAACATGACGCCAAATCAAAGAGTAAAAACTTTTACAAGGATTTCGAGACCAAAACCTTAGCAAGCAGGCAAATTCTAAAGTTACCATCGAGTCGTAATGAATTTAAACCCATTATCCTTGATTCAAATTCAAATTGTGAAACAAATCGGCCATAGTTTTGACATTAACATTGGCTACGTTCGAGAGAAATCTTAGGATAAACAACATAATTCCTCCACTCCAAAAACTTCAAATCTTTTTTCTTCCAATTACATTTCTCTCCTCCATTTCATAACCTCTTCAACCCCCATAAACAATATATATACATAAAAATCTGTAATTTTTAGAACAAACTAAAACCCATTAATTTTATCAATAAAAATTGAAAAAGATAATTACTTCTTAAATCTTTGCCAACCAACCAACCAACCAGTTAAACCAGAGCCAACCAAAAAATGGGGAAAAACAGAGAGCCAACCAACCTGTTAAACCAGCCCCAAAACTCACAGCAGATACTTCACGATGGCGACGAAGACTCCAGAAACCGAAGGCAGGCGGCAGGCGGAGGAGAAGCTTTCAGAACTTCCCGGGATCGCAAATCGGAGAACCACGGCCAAACTCTCAGCAGCAGCACCCGACCATGATATTCTCCGACTTGGGGTCTCTACTTCGAGGCCCTCCTAGATCGCCTTCTCATCGTCGCCACCGCATTCTCCTTTCCCATGTCAGCACCGCCACCACAGAGCTCCGATCGGCGCCGGCCCAGCAGAGCAGAGCAAAAGAGTTTCGGTATTTCGCTCGCTCGAAACGGATCCGATGCGCTTTTTTTGCGCTTTACGCATTTCGGGGGTGGTTTAATAGTCCGTTAAAATGATAACATTGAAATTGTGTGCTGTAAATTTTGATGGAGGGAATCCGGTGTGTCGTGACTCGTTTTCGTACACGTGGCAATAGTTGTCTACTTTTTTTTTTATTGATTTGATTTTATGGATCCAACAAAAAATAATAAAAAAAAGATAATGATTTTATGGAAGAGGTATTTATCAGTTTGCTTCCTAACTTATATAGAGTTACTAATTTTCCTTTTCAATTTTAATTTTAATCGATTATTCCTTAAATTTTTGTAATTAGTGGATTTACCCTGAACTTTAAGTCTTTAACTTTAGCTGATTACGCTTAAACTTTTGTAATTAGCTAATTTTTCTTGAACTAAAACTTTGACCAATTATCAAATTAAAATTTTATAAATAACTAATTTTCCTCGTTATGTTGGATTTAAAATTTTTTCTTTCGAATTTCGCAGGGACAACTAACTAACTTTTGATTGATTTGATTTTATGGATCCAACAGAAAATATTAATAAAAGATTTGATTTTATGGAATTTGTTCTAACTAACTTTTGATTGATTGATTTTATGGATCCAACAGAAAATAATAAAAAAAGATTTGATTTTATGAAATTTGTTCTGTAATGTTAGGATTTAGTAGGAAATTAGGAACTTTTACAGCAAGGAAAGAAAATGTCCAACCAAAAAATAAAAAGTGCATAACCCTGTTATGCTATGCATAGCCACTGATCCAACAAGCTTTTGTCATAATCTAACTGGAAGAAACCCTAATAAGAAACTTTAATATTCTTAACTTTATCTAATGCTTCATGTTTATCCTATAAAAAGGGTGCAATCTTGTCATTGTTGTCAAGTTCAAGTTAATCAATGTTTGTTGTTATGGAAAAGGATCCTTGCCAGATCATGTGATCGTAACCGTTTATAATATATTGTGCGGTCAGAATCATTATAAAATTTAAAATTAATATAAATAGTACCTAACGAAAACTGACCACACGATGTACGATTAACGATCACAATCATGGAATTTCTATAATCCCTAAAAAAAATCCAGCCAGGATCTTTTTCCTGATATTATCTAGTGGGATGTTGTTACCAAACTTCTCATTTTACTTTTTCAGCTCTTTCTTATCATATAATGAAGCATGGAGATTCGAATTGTTTATTTTTAGTCACTTTTTAGGATCATCTTTAAAAAAAATTAACTAAATTTTAAATTATTTAATCATATATATCGATTATATAATATACGAAGAATGTTTCTCACTCTAACACATAAAATTTTGACAACGTTAATCAAACTATTAAACGATTTCTAATTTAATTGATTTCAATATTGCACACTCTAACACAGAAAATTTTGACAACGTTAATCAAACTATTAAACGATTTCTAATTTAGTTAATTTCAATATTGCAAAACAAAAAAAGAATCGAGAAAATAAAACAAGAAAGTCCAAGTAAGCAGGGTCTAAGTATAATAGTATAATACTGGATTTTCTTATACCAAAAATAAAATTGAAAAAGCCTTTTATTAATTAGTTACATACACGCAAACATTTAATTCAACACACTTTCGTGATGAATGTGAAATAATATTGGATTTGAAAATCCCATTACGAAAGAGAAATGCGAAGAGCATCTCCAAATGAGATGTCAAAAATTTAAGTGGAATGTTACTGTGCATATTTGACATCAAAAGTCTTTCCAACCGAAGTGTTATTTGGTGAATGGATTTGAATGCTTTGTGATTTGGAGTCAAATTTGACATTAATGTCAAATTTATTTTTAATTCATTTTAATGGTGGGTCTCTTATTCCATTAACATTTCAACCAATAAAAATTTTGTTTCACATTTTTTTAATAATTACAATCATTTAAAGATCTATTTAAATATTAAAATAACATTTGACAATTCGGTGAGAAGTACAAAATTTGACATAAGACTTCAAATTGCCACATCATCTTTTAATTGTAATTTGACTCTTATAATTTGACATTCTTTGAAGATGGTCTAAAGAGATTCTCTCAAAATACGATTCTTCATGAACTCTCTGCTACTTTATTTATTTATTTGTTTTTTTGCACAATATTAACATAAAAATTGTCCCAAAAACATAAAGTGGCGGAAAATCTCACTTTTAAAAAAATTTCCTTAACATTTCTCTTATCGAAACACTCATGGTCAAAGATGGGATTGACTTGATAACCTTGGAAATTAATTTCTAAGAAAGACTTGGACTTGGACTTTTTTTTTGGGACAAAAGATTCACTCGTTTGGACTTTTGGACTTGGACTTCTTGATAAAATCACTTTCATGCGACTTCTTCCAACCCTTCGTATTGGAAGGGACGATGACTCTATGTGGCTGGAAATATCGCACAAGTTGAATAAATCCTTTGATATTATTTTTTAATTTATTACTCATCATATTCACCCCAATTTGGCCAAACACTTGAATTAATTCATCTTAATATCATTTCTTTTAATAATATACAAATTCATAGGGCGTTTCAAGATTTTATCTAAGAAATGTTAAAGTGATTCTCAAGTAACCCAACAGTTTAATGGCAATTTATGTGACAACATTGTAAAATATTGTGTAAAAAATAGGAAGTGACAGATATTCATGGAGAGTCTTACTTTTGAAAGAATTTTCTTAGCACTTATCTTTGATCCGATCCAATTCATTCATACTGATTGATTTAATTTAATTTTGATCGGTTTTGATGATTTGCCGGATTAAATTAGATTCTTAAATCGAAAAACCAATGTGGTTGGTTCAAATGACCATTTTGATTGTGAGAATCCAGTAACTTCCGATTCAAGTTAATTTTAAGCTCTTTTGATCGTATTAGTCCTCTAAAATTGAAAAAAAGAAAAGAAATTTAAGTCATTAAATACATTATATCATTATGTTTGGCTAAAAAAAACATTATTTCCACTAATTAATGAAACCCTCTTTGTCAACCAAAAGAGGGTGAAAGGACAAATTAGTCTTTTATCACACAAAAAAAAATGATGGGCAATAATGTAATTTCACAGGTCTAAATTTTACTGTTTTTTATTGAAGCCTCACCTACATGTGATGTTAAAATACCTTCAATATAAAATTAAAAAAAAAAAAAGCCAAGCACTCCCCCACGTTCTCTCTCTCTCTCTCTCCCCTCATTTTCTAAAAAAATGTGTTCATACACCCAAAGTCTATAAGCAAATGCTAGTATAATTAATTAAAACACTTTTATTTAGCATTTGATTTTGATTTTTGATTTTTTATGTGTTATTTTTTTATTTTTTTACTTTGCATACATCATCAATGAATTATTACGCACTAATAAAACTGTGTTATTTTGTTAAAAAAAAAATTGTGTTATAAGCTTAGTTTTGTTGTAAATTTGATAACAGCTTTTATGTTTCAATATTTTATTTTTCCGTTTTAAAAACCAACATTCAATTCAATCTAATTCAACGTCGGGCCAAATAAATTGAAAATTATGCAATCTTAGTCTACATTGAATCGGATGCAAACTAAAAATATTTATTATCGATTTTGAAGTGACGAACACCAAGAACATTCATAGTTTACACAAACATCTAAAGGGATTCTCATTTTTTTGTAAAATGGGGACAAGTTGCGGGGCCCCTTATACTCGAACATCTTCATTTATAGATCATTTTTGTAAAAAAATAATTAAGAAACTATTTACTCATTTGATTGTCATGATGAAATTTTAATGTTACTTAGGATATAATGCTTGTTATTCAATTAGATGTCTCAAAATATTTCTGATTAATATTTTGCAAAGATTATATATAAAGTACAACTTAAAAAATAAACAGTTTAAATCGTTAAAATTTGATGTAGAACATTTCTCACAATTATTCTTAATTTTTATCAAAAAATAGAGATGCCTTTGAATGAAGGGCTGCCGACTGTTACAACAAACTGATGAATTGGGTAGCGCTGGGTTGATGGAAGTGGAGCCCAAGAATGGCACGTTCACCCACTACAGAAACCCATGTTCTTGACAAGTTGTTTGCCTGAATTATTTCGAGTCTGGTTTTCTAGTTGGATCTATGCATATATGTTTCTGGGAGGGAGATCTTTGATGGAAGAGAATTTTATTTTATTTATGACACACCCCGACCGAGATAGGGGCGTGCTGGCCGTCACACAAAGGCGACGTAGCCATGTGCACGTGCGGAAGCTAATGGAGTAGTAAAATAAAAGTACGAATAATTAAAAACTGGAATACTAGTACTAGAATAAGTGCTAGTTAGTGCGATACAAATTCAGAGCAGGTCTACAGCAGTCCAAATAAAACAACAACAGTAGTACGCCCGAAGGCGACCCTACAATGTGGAGTGTCTGTCAGAACGCCGAAAAGCTCGCAAGGGAAACCACCGCAACGGCTAAGCAACTAGAACCTGGAGGGGCGCAAAACAAAAGCGTGAGTGGGCAAAAACAAAGCTCTTTGAAAACCATTTAGCAAAACACAAACTAACCCCTCGCCGTAAAACCTGTATACTTCCCAGATAAATAACATATGTACGTAAGTATAAATATGCCAATCATGCTCAAGGGTATGCCAATCTTAAAGCTTCATAATGATATGCAAGTGCTCAGGCATAAATCACATCAATCACGTATCACTGGCAGCCGGAGTCCCCTAAGTGACCTGTACGGCTAAAACTAGAGCCCAAATCTCAATCTCAATCACTAAACCTACCCACGAGTCGGAACCACCTATAGTGGTCTGTACGACAGGCCTGGGTGTAATACATATAACCGCTCTAGTGCTACGATCACGTGAAGGCTGTGCGAATAATCGCGGGTCACCTACGAGTCGGAACCACCTACTGTGGTCTGTACGACAGGCCTATGCACCTAACTTGGATCCAAGCTGAGCGTAT